AAGGCACTCTTCACACATGAGAATAGAATGGTTCGTACAAGTGTTGCTTACACTGACAGCATTTTTGGTTAGATTTCCTTTCCTGTTTGGCAGGCCATATTTTTCACCTCTCTTGTCTTCCTCTTTTGTCAGGAGCTTCCTTTTATATTATACAGTGTGCACTTAGCAGGAAAGTAAAATATCAATAAAGTAAAATAACAAATATGTAATGAGTGTTTAGAGTAAAAATTAACATTTTCAAAATCAACTTGTTTATTTGCTTACAAGCTGTAAAAAATAACATCGTAAATAAATTCCTATGTGGACTATAATGAAAATACAAATAAAACTCTACAACAAAAATAACCTTTAATTATCACATCTGTTAGCACATGTGTTTTGTTTTCCTGTCTTGTTTGGTGTTTCATACTTAATACCTGGCTGGTCTTCCTGTTTTCTTAGAAAATTCTTGTGATGCTTGACCTGTCTGTTCACCAGTCTACTCCAGAATTATGTTTTTAATTTGTTTTTTGAGACAGGGTCTTGCTGTATAGTTCAGGATGGCCTTAAACTCACTTCTGTAGGCCAGGTTGGCCTCAAAGCCATGGTGATCTTCCTGCTTCAGTCTTCAGAGTCCTGGGGTTAGAGGCATGTGCCACCATGCTCAGCCTGCTGCAGCATTCATTTGCAGTGTTCTTTGGATGGATACATATTGTCCTTCCTCTGTGATACTTGATCATTTATCAGTTCTAGTTCCAATCCTCTAAGAAAATTTCTCTGTGATATCTTACCTTGTTATTTTCTTTGTAAACCATGAAACTATTTATGCCTGACATGTCTGCAATCGAGTAAGCACACCCATTGGCCAAGGCTTTGTATATCAAGTGACATCGTAGTTGCTGCATAATTCATCAACATAACTACTTTGCCTTTCATTTTGTAATAAAATGTGACCATTTCTGGCTTTTTTAATATTGAGGATTCACTACAAATCATTTGTTTGTTTTGGGAGAGGGTCTCCCTCCTTAGTCCAGGATAGCCTTGAACTCCCAGTGTAGCACAGGTTGACATTTAATTCACAAGATCCTCCTACCTCAGGCTCTCAAGGACTGGGATTACAGGTGTATGCCACCATGCCTAGCCTCCAATATCAATCTTATCATCATGGTGTAATGTTGACAGTATAAATATTACTTTGTTTTTCTTAGCCATAAATGTACACCAGGCTGACTAGACCAGGCTAGTCAGCACAAGCTGACCTTGAACACAGAAGATCCTTGAACACAGAAGATCCTCCTGCCCCAGCCTGTCTTACTGTGGTGTGTAATTTTGACAGTATCAGGACTACTTTGTTTTTCTTTGCCATATAGGATGCCAATGTTATAACTTTCTGAAATCCAAAGAGTGTACTATATATCTTTCAGTGGTGAACTTGCAGCACTTTTTTCAGGAACCTTGGATTTATTCTTAGGAATAGTTCCTGTGCTGGTTAACTAGTGTTCTTGTAGCATACATACTGTCTATGGGTAACTAGTGAACTAATTGTCAAATGTGACACTTGGTGTTATGGTTTATGTCTGTGTGTCCCCTCCAAAGCCTCATGCGACCATGGGGCAGGCTATTAGAGTTGAATGATTGTGGGTGTGAGAGCTACACCCGCCCTGGGGTGGATAGTTTGCATATGTAAGGGAGAGGAAAAGAGTGCTTGAGGACATTCCTCCCCCATTCCGCCCTGGTGTGTGCTTGCAGCTTAGCTGTGTTCTGCTGCCCTGAGATGTAGCTCTTTGCCATGGGCCACTCTGCCTTATAATCTGCCAAGTAAGGACTGAAACCTCCACGAACTGTAAGCGAAATAAACCTTTCCTTCCTTAATTTTGGGCGTCAGGTATTTTGTCCCAGCAGTGACAGAAAAGTAACCAAGACACTTGGGTTACTTTTTGAAATAGGTCCATACAGGAATAAAGACCTAGTGGCTGAGTTCCAAGACAAATTTCTAAATTCAAAATGTAAAATGTCTTCACCTTTACCAAGACCTGTGTTTTCACCCCATATGTTGAAGGTTTATATGCTATATATATATCTGAAACCGTCGATAACCATGTAATGATGCAAGTTGTCCATCCATTGTCATGTGTTCAATGATGTATGAAGTTCTTGACAGTTGGAACTAAAGATTTCTAAAAATGAGTAAATAGCAGCCAAAATGTTATAGTTTTATTTTTTTTGTGGCTTGTTCTGTCAAAATGCAGGCAATTTTGAAGGAAAGCAAATGTCATGAATGTCATTATTGTTCTAAAGTCTAAAGGCCACATATGTCACATTTCCATAAATCTTTTAGATGTTGATTTTAAGAATGATAGTCCTGCTACAAAGGCTTTTACTTCAGAGAGTGAGGTATCATGATATACTTTGTAGTGTTACTTCTGATGCACTTATATTTCACTATTAGTTTATTTTAAAATATCTTATAACATATTATCCATTAAAAACAATTTTCAACATTGAATTGTAGTGTTAGCATTTTGTGCAATAGGTGTCACACCAGCAAGAACCTAATTACATTTTCTGACCTAGTTCTATTGTTGGATCATTCAGGTACATATAACCATTTTGTAGCATACTGACTAGTCAAATACTTATTTACATTACTGTTTTCTTCCTCACCTGAATAAGGTCTTCATTCTATGCTTCCGTATCTGTCATATCTTGCTAACTTCTTTGGCTTACGTGATCCAAGTCATCATCTAGAGCAAGGGCACCTGAAGACTAACTTTCAACCTCCTCCCATAGTTTTAAAAGCAGATTTTCTTGTGACATTGTGCTGACTTGGGCTAATTCTACATGAAAAATTAAACAAAGCATTTAATTAAAGAAATTATAAATACACCAAAATGTAATATCTATCACCAGGGTGTCCCACAAATGACTGTAAGTTCTACACGTATTCAGAAACTTTTTTACATTTTTAGGTGTTCAATTGTTTTTTATCTTTGTAAACATTGCATGCTTCTGGCTATTTAGTGAGGAAATTCATACAGAGGGCTTGGGGATATTATATAGAAATGTGTTTTCCCTTGGATTCTATCTGAGTCCCTACCTAGGTACTTATGTTTAGAATTCCATGTAGAAAGGTTTTTGCCATAAGCATCATCTAAATGTATTGATACTGATGCAGTAGAGCATCATTCCATTGCATGAACTTGTATTCTTTCGCTTGTTACTAATTATATGATTCAGTGAGGATACTAAAGTTGATGAATACCTATGCATGGATAGGTACATCATTCAGATTGGAATAGTAAATGGAAATACTGTTTCTCCCTATCTGGTGGGTAACATGGCTGTTGATAAAGCATTTATGAAAGAAATGTTTGTAGTAACTGTTTTTTACATTGTAGCTACTCTATACAAAATATAAAAAGGTTGTTTTCTAACAGGAGTCAATTATTTTCCACACTGCAAAATTGATGAATCCAAGATCAGGAGATTCACAACTTAAATATATAGCAAAACATGGGCTATAGTTGTTGCATTCTAGCTGTGTTGTCACTTGGCAAGGAAGGGCTTGGACTCTTACGTGTGCATGCATCTTATTATTACTAAGGGCTCAGAATCCACGACCATATTCACTTCCAATTTCTCCACACCATCATGCCATCATGAAGGGGCACAGGATTTAGTGCATGAAATTTGGGTAAGTTTGGCTACACAGAGTGCAAGCAATTATTTGAGGGTGCATTGTATGTTGAGCAGTGCTGTGGACTGTATATGGCTTAATGATACCCTAAAGATTTGTATGCTGATTTAGATCTGCTCAGAGATTTTAAGGGATAGAAACTTAACTATTCTATTTGAAGTTTAATAAAAACAGTGCAACTTTAGATGTTATGAAGCAAGTGAGACACAAATTTTCAGAAAACGTACTAATTTGACTACCATTCCTATTAATTTTGGCATTACAGAGGTCACTGATAGAAAAATTGTTTCCATGTTGTTAAAAACTGCTGTTACCAGATTCTTGTGCTATTTTCCTTACTTCAGAGAACAAGAGCAAAGAAGTACTATAGAGGGTGGAAGAACAGTGCTGCAGAGGCAGCTCAAGATGTCATCACAGGAAATGAGTAACATCACCACAGAGTGAAGGCAAGGGTTAATCTTACAATGAGAGTCCAGTGCAGTATGTTTCCTAAATGAATTCCTTCCCATTCTCCACATTGCTTCTCCAAAATGGGTGTAAGTTTCAGCAGTACCATCTGTCTGCTGTTACCTCCAATATGTGACTGCTGACAAGCCCATTCCTTCGAGTTCTCTGCCAAGGAATTTCATATTCTCATATTGTAATCAAATTTATACTTGATTCATTGGAAATGTAAAAGAATTGCTTTGGGGATATAATTTGGGAAATAACTGACATTATCTTTCATCAGGGTGTCATAAGGCAGGAAATACTCCTGCCATATCATTTATCACCTTCACTTTCTGCTTCACTGTTTAGTACAATTCTGTTCTCATTGGTCTTTTTCTCTGGAAAACTCAAAATATGCTCTGGGTTTGAATGAGAACCATGTCACCTCTCTCGTCTATGTAATCAAAACCTGCTTCTTTTCTTTTCTTTTTTTTTCTTTTACCGGGAATCGAACTCATGACCTCACGCTTGCCAGGCAGGCACTGTGCCGCTGCGCTAAATCCCCAGCCCCAGCTGCTTTTGTTGTATGTGTATTTTAAGGCTAAAATTTTTCCTCTTGAAACCACATCAAAGTTCCAAGCCTGTATTGAATGCCATGTTACTATACACTTAGAAAGTGAGTGCTTCTACATGCAGGCTAATGTTTGTCAGTTAGATTATTTTATCTTCCTAATAATCTTAGGAAGTCCAGTTCCATTTGACACATTAGTTTTGCCAAAGCAACAGAGGATGAAAAAAAATACTGTCTCACTATTACACAGTTGGAGATGAGATGAAAGGGATATACATGTATTCACTCACATAGAGACCTGGATCTCTGCAGATGGTATCTAGCCCAACTGGGAGATTTATATTCCTCAACTTAACATACTTCAGTAATGGTTGTTTCTGTCTGTGATTTCTACTTGCTCAGGGAGGCAGAATCCTGGTGCACTAACCTGAGAGTGTTATGTCCAAAATACCCCGTCCACTTGCACTGGCTTGGGCACTTCCAGCACATAAAGGTAAACAGGTGCAAAGTCCAGACTATATATGGCAAAAATGCCTGTGAGAGTTACCATTATACTGATGGGAAGCTCAAAATGTTTCGAATATGTGTAGATGGAGTTGTATGATACTACACTGTGCTGTAATTTTTAAGGATATTTACATGCTTTCACATAAGGTGTTGCCAGGAATATCTATATATTTTTGTGGCTAATCTTTACGGGCTCTTTTGAATCTACAAGTGTAACTGACATGCAGTACAGAAGGCCTCTATCAGCTTGCGTGGATGTTATGAAACAGTTTACCCAATGTCTGCAGCAGTGTGTGTGATGTAAGCATGAGTTCACAGCCAGATATCTGACAGTATAGAGCTTGTTCTTCCTGTCGAGAAAACATAATGTAGAGAAAAATAGATGTTTGGGGTAGACCCAGAAAATGTATTGAATATAGGTGTCGTTCTCCTAAACTGTGTTGAGTTGCCAGACTTGGGATCTGGGACTGAAGTGGGAGGTAATGGACAGTGTAAAATATTGCACACAAGTAGAAAAGAAGTTTACAGATTTTATCTACATCAGTTCATATAGCAAATATGTAATATCTCTCTGTAACAGTCTCTTCACTGTAGGAAAACCAATGGTATTTCCAAAAATTTCACTGAATTCTGACCCCGTCTCTTCTTAATATCTGAATCCCCAGGTATAATCATGTTACCATGTTAGAACACTTTTATATCTTATGCCAGTCAATTTGGGTTTTAGGGTAATGTACTTTTGCCACACTTGGTTACAAATTCATGTGCTTACAGTCTACTTTTTATTTATTTATTTTTTCCTGGAATGCATCACAGCTCTCAGAAAAAACAATTTTTTCTTACCATTGAAAAACAATGAACCCATGGTCAGTCCAGTGGAAACGGTCCATGACAGTGTATGGCAAGGATAGAGGGAGTGTTGCATTCTTCATAAGGAGGTTCAGAATTCCTTGTTGCTAAATGTTGATCATAAAATTTTGGTCACCTTGTCACGAGGGGTGTTCACAGTATATACTGTATATTCCCACAATTAGGTCTTTGTCTTTAACGATGAACTCTGGTAACTCTCTGGCCTTTCCACAGATCCAGGGGAAGGACTTCATGTTTTGCCCAATTGGATAATTAGAAAAAAATTACTTTTTGATATTTCACATTTTAAATATGCCTTGCTTTTTTTGCATTTCAAACCATATGCTATCCAGACTCTAACTGCATTCCCTAACCAATAACCATCTTTTAACCTACAAAGTAAAGAATTTTCACGTGAAAGATTTCAAGAGTCTTAGAAGCTCTTAGGTCATAATCCCTAGGTTGTTGCCCATAATATAATGTTTTGTGTGTCCTCTCATTGTCTCTCTGTTTTGACAGCCATGGAGAATACCCAGAATAAATGTCACTAGAATACACATTAAATATAGCCATATGTCCTGTAATAAATATTCAAATCATTAATTTAAATTGAAGGATGTGATTCAGCCTCAGGAGGATCCACCCTTTGGGGAGCTATACTTTTTGAAAAGGAGGGCAACTTTTAAGATGCTTAGGACATTACAGAAGAGATGACCTGCCAGTGGAGGTGTGTGAAGACAAGAGATGGTTTTCAAAAGGTAATAAAAACATGTAAATTCCAGGCACAGTGCAATATTCAACTAGAATGGTGAGGTAAACAGCAATGCACAGGACAAAGAGAAGGCTTCTGATTTGATTTGTGGACCAGTACATTTTGTCTCTCAAAATGAGGGTTAGGGTTAAGATTCATATTTAGCACTGAAGGGTTTGGATTGAGTACCATTGTCTCATTTAACTTACAATGTTGGTGAGAAGTAGCAAATAACATTAACTTGGCAGCAAGAATTTAAATGTCAGTGAATTTATGATGAGACCTATATTAAAAAGGAAATGCCATTGTAGTTTTCCTTGGTACATTTTCTCCTGCAGAATTCTTTTATATTATGATTCCCTTGGCATTTATGTGCACTGAAAACTCTAGAAGAATTGTTAAAGGTGACATGTTTCAAGGCTGGAATGATGGTATCTCATTTGCACATGTGATGGAGACTACTAGGAAATGGCTCTGAGCAGGATTTAATATTCACCAATTGGCTTTTCGTGTTTACGTCTGAGTTTGTCCAAGGCCTAGGCCCCTTGTCTGAAGATAGGTAGTGGACTCACAGTAAGTGAACCTCTGTGAGTCACTGGTCCTGACTGACTGAGACCTGTAGTGGCCAGTGAAGCAAAGGATAAGAAAAGGCCACAGCTAAGGAAACCTGGCTCCAACCTCAATTAAGTTGATAAAGACTGTAGCTGCAGGAATCTCACTCCTGAGTGGAGACCTTCCTGGAGATAACATGTGGGGGAAGGACCGTGATTGCTAATGAACCAGTTACTGATGGTCGGCTTATGATCCACAGCCATGCTGAGTGCTTGTGGTGCAGGGTGAGGGAGGCTTGCCCGAGGATTGTTGCCATCAGCTGAGAGGCAGAAATGGAAGGGATAATGAATTACTCCTGTTGGTCTGAGTTACGTTCTGGGTTCTAACAAAAGGCAATTGAGATGGGTGATCAGGGCTATAGTCCCAGAGGCTGTGGGCCCCCTGATCCCAGACTTTCGCCTCTCCTGGTTTTCTACTACATTCCTTTATTCATCTGCATGCACCTCTTTCTTGGGACCTGGTACTACAGATAATACCAACAAACCTAGTTGTCCTAAATTAACAGTGTCTTACTTGGAGAAATCCTCGAGAGGTTCCCCCCTTCCTTCAGTGTTCCCTTCCCTTGTTTTGATAACTAAGTAAATGCTGGTTGCCCAGGGAAAAATCTTTGTCTTAGCTCCCAGAGAATGTCAAATTCTGTGAAAGGGTTTTGATCCTCTTCGAGCCCTAAAATCATACCACTTGACTCATTTGTTTAAGTCTTCCCAGTCCACTCATTTGGGAGATTGCCAACCTGATTGGTCCCCAATTACTAAAGGATAAAATTCACACAATATACGTGGTTTAGGTGGGCTTTGCTTTCAGAACTTTGGCTGGTTTCCATGAGGGTTTTTTCAGAAAATGCTTGGTTTTTACATAAAAATGTTGCTGTTATCAGACAGTAATTCATACATACAAGGAATATGTGAGAAGGGAATGTTAGAAAAAGACTCACCTTGTTAGATTTTTTAAAGTAGATTGTTTTAGGTCAGAGAATGAAGCACATTAATTGTATTACGCTTTATGTTGATTGGACAATGTGTATTCTGTGCACAGCTGAAGAGGAAAAGCATTATACTGGCTCATTATTTTAAAGATACTGGACCAAGTTCCCCTGGCTCAAAAGACATAGCATGGTAGAATAACATGGAAAATGATAGCTGGCCAATTGTTAATAGGCATGAAACAGAAGGAAGAGAGTTTGAAAGGAAGGGACCAAGGACGAAACAGAGTTCTTAAAGCTGTGCTTTCATGACTGATTCAGACCCACGCAGACGTGTGCTTTGCTAATATAGGCATCTCTGAAAGCAATCAGGTTAATGACTGAGGCCAGCAGTCTGATGACTCCCAATCTGATCTTTCCTGCAGGGTAAGTAATGCATTGGAGGAGAGAAGTTTACAACGTGTGAGGGTAGGACTGTGCACTGCAGAAAGCTGTCAGTGTTAAATCCTTAAGTGTTCCTGTTTCTTCACAAGCAAGTCATTGGTGGTGGATCATTCTGACACTCAACACTAGAAGTATTATTAGTCTTCATAATTTAGATATTCCGGACTTTGAATGGAATAATTGCCTGTCTGAGATATTTGAATATTTTCTTCCCTTTCATGTTGACTCATTTGCATTATACTATCATGTTACTCATTTCCTTATTTATGGAGTGATTATATTCCCTTCACAGCACATTTTTATTTATTTTTTGCTGTAGAGAAGTAAATTGATAGGGAAGTATGAGGAAGTCTGTGCTGTAAAGCGAAATTCCTCATTCAAATTTCTACCCTGTAACATCTTTAGCCATCCCTTAAATATTTCACTGTGTTTTATCATTTCATAGACCCAAGGTTTTTGGGCTTCGACGTTTTCTCCAAGTGACTTCAGTCTGGAAGTTCAGAAGCACACTATTTACAGTATTTGTAGCAACAAACCATAGGAAGAGCTCATTGAGATGATAGTGGCAGCTCTTAAATGGTAGTGGAAAATCTACTTGAGTTCTATGATTCCCTCAATGTAAGTCCAGTCAATATCATAGTAGGAAGTCTGGGCTGAGATGTTTTGGTTGCAGTGTATCATATGGGCTCCACTCCAACTAATAACAAATTTTTCTCCCTTGTTCCTCTTGGCTCAGAAGACAGAAATTGAAACAGCAATGTGCCAGTAAAAAAGCATTGAGTTTCTATGAGCGGTCCAATCAGGCACTCTGGCCAGAGAAGGGAACTTTGCTCTGTCACATGCCCAAGTCAGAAGCTCCTATTGTGTTGCTGAGAGCCGTGCCAGCTGGCTCATACTCACTTGCTGTGTGGGTTCCACTGACTGCAAGCTGAATGGGAAGGACACTGGGAGACCCTCAGTCCTGGTGATAATGAATGGGCAGCCAAGACAGGAGTGGAGTTTGTGGTGGAGGCATGAGATCTGGTTGAAAGAGGACAGAATCTGGTTTGGCAAGAGCTGGGCCCCCTACATCACCTGAAGTGTCTTTCTTTCTACATATTAACTGCTGCTGTTGTGTCCTTGCGCTCTACGAGTGAGCTGAGACACCTGCCAAGACCTAAGCATCCTGTTTTGTCCAAGTGGGGTGGCTGTAGCATGTCCAGAGCTCCGTTCTGGGCAACTTTGCCTGAAGCTGCACTTCTCATTGTGCACTAAGCACGGCAGGTTGGTTGGCAGACTCCCTACCCGGAAGGTTTGGGTGGGTGGCACTGTGGTGTGACGGGTACCCTGACTTCTAGCACATCGGCAGACCTGATGTTATAAGTTGTATCTAATTATGCCCCAAATGGCACGTGTTTAGAAGTTGGTT